GGCTGCCGGACACGGAGTCGAATATTTGTTTCTGCTGCTCTTTTGTCTGGCCCTGCTTATCCCAAAGCTCGGTTTTTACCAGTCCAGGAACAACAGTATTAACCCGTATCCCTTTATGAGCTAGTTCACTTGCTAATCCCTGCGTGAGCGATACCACTGCACCGTTGAGTGCCCCGCCAATCGCAGCACCTTTTCCTGGTTTTAATGCTGCTGCCCCAGAGGTGAGAGTGAGAGAACCACCGCGGTTGATTATGTCGAACTTTGCAGCCGCTTTTGGCACAAAGATATTTTAGTTCACTTTCGAGTACAAGGGTAAAGTTCAGCTTACCTTTGCCCACTACCACAGCGCCCCAGAACTTCACCCCAAAGAGATGCTTGGCATCATCGAGATTTGCGTCGACGATATCTCCCCTGATGATTTTATCCACACCGCAGAATATGACATGGTCAAAGGGCCCCAAATATTGTAAAAGATTGGTGAAAGCAGCTTCCTCTCGAACATCTCCTACAGCCCCTCGGACCTCATCGCTGCCTAGTCGCTTTTTTGCTGACTGAATCTTCTCCTCCGATGAAGATACTATTGTAACAATAGCGCCATAGTCAAGAATAATACTTGCTGCCCCGTAACCAATTCTGATTATGTAGCATATTAGTTGTCATATCAAGTAGTGGGATTGTGTTTGATGTTTTTGACTTGATCACTGACCCAGAGCTGCCCCCGACAACCAAAACCTTCTTGCCAAAAAGTTTCTCAGCGGAGTTCACCATATTCATAACCTTGGTATGAACAGGATGCTGAGAAGTAATTTTCTGGCTTGGAATGATCTTTATGAGTTTCAATTTAACTTGATGTCACGTATTGATACCCCGCACCGGACAGAATTTAACCGCCGCCAAGCAAACGCTACTCCACACCTATTATCGGTTAAAGTTATCCCCGTGGGGCATGGTGGAGGCATGAACGTGGCATAAGAGGTTTCAGATATATTCACTATAGCAAACATCTCGATAGGAGCGAAATCTTCGATGAAGGGGTGAATCATGTGTCGGAGTCTTGAGCCGAGTTGTGGTTACCGGCTGATTTCATCTCAAATGCAACCGAGTGGGAATCCGCGCGGAGCGACCGTGGTATATCAGACCTTTTTTGGGGAAAGCTTATTGAAGTCAGTGCCGACTGGGCCGGAACCAGCCGCCTAAGCAATTGTACTCTATAACAACTAAGGTAACTATTGCCCTTTCAGCATTTACTCACAGTGACCAGCAGGCACCGCGTAACATTCGGAAGAAGACTGTAAATAAATTGAGCTATAAAGGGGAGGTTTCGAACTCCCTAAGAAACAGTCTTTGAGCAATCTGACTTGGTACCTTCTCTCCTACCTGATTGACAGGCCTCTACCCTGACTAGTAGAGTATCTCTTTACATAGGGCTATCCGTGCGGTTAAGTAGGCTTAATAGGAATAGTTAAGTATAAATAGGGGAGAAATAGGGCTAACTTTAGGATTCTTTCGTATAATATCGTATAAGATTGTTATGATACACCAACCTGTCATGAGGTTATTCCCATGTTGGTGCCTCAGGCTTACGGGGCCTGGGAAGACTGGTAGAACGGCAGCCTTTCGGCGGTGAACCGCCAATCTTTCGTTATCTACACGACAGGGAGCCTCTGCAGGGAAGGTCCCTATATATAGTTACACTACCTCTTGTGTTCTCTCCTTATCTCGCGTTTACCCCTCTTTCCTGTTTGGGGAAAAAGACTGTACATATTTTGAGCCATGAGAGGGAGGTTTCAAACTCCCCAAGAAACAGTCTTTGAACAATCTCACTTGGTACCTTCTCTCTTACCTGATTGACAGGCCTCTACCCTGACTAGTAGAGTATCTCTTCACAAAGATCGAGCACTTATAGTAATAAATAAAGACTACGTCTAACCTAAGATATAGTTTACTAGTCTACTTCTATAGTAAATTCTAGTAATAAAAAGCGCGTATTACCTAACTAGTAATACTAAGAGGTATTATTAGCCTATATCTATAACCCCCTATTTCCGAATTCTGCTAAAAACGTATTAATACCATTTAGATAATCGACTTAGAGTCGTTATTAAGCCCGACTAGGTCCGTCTATAGCCGCTAGCAGAGGACGGATATACTTAGTCCGTTACTAAAGCGAACGTATAGGTATTATAATCGTGCTTAAGTAGCGGTAGGATTAGCCTATACTGATCTATTTATAACGCGCTAGGCAAGTCGCTTAAGGCTATAACTTATAAGACCAGGAGTTCTACCTCAACCCTATTAAGATAGCAGTGCTAAGGTAAGACTTCTTAAGAGTTAATCAGGAAATGTAAACAACACTAAAGGAATATTCTAGCAGCCACAAAGCAGCGAGGATGATAATAGATCATTCATAGCCAGGATTCGGGAATTAGAATCCACAGATAACGACCTAGTAGCTGAATTAGAACGCGCGAACAACCGTCATGAAGAGTCTCTTGAGCAAAGGTCGTGATTTGCAGACTGAAAATCATCGGCTAAGAAATGAATTAGGGGATAGTTCGACCCGCGCGGACCACAACAGGACTCTAGTCCCCGTGTAAGGCTTAGCATAGCAACGGTACAGTTGCGAGATACTCTTGAGATTCGCAGTAGGAACCCGGTACGTACGACCCTCAGACGCTCTACTCACAGTGACCAGTTAGCAACGCGTGACAAGAGGTTACGTGAATGACTGAATATATTCGCATAGGTTTCTTGGAATGTCATGAATGCTTCGATACCATTTTTACCTCTTATCGTTTTAATAGGCATATAATTCTGTCTTTTATGGGAACTTCAACAGCGACTGCAATTTTGATTTTAACGCCGCAATCTCCGTTTCACATCGACTGCCATCCTCTCCTACCATACCGATGAGAGTGTTATCGATATTGTCCAGGAACGTTTGTGTAGCTGATAAAAGGCTTTCCAAGATGTACACAGGCAGGAATTCGAGAAGATCCAGCTTGTAAAAATATATACCAAGTGTTACCATCTCTCTCGACGACTGCAAAAACCTTCGGTGAGCAGACCTTTGCAAATAAGAGATATCATCCTGGAGTGCGGCTTGTTTAGTCAGGGTAGAAACTTGTCGCAGATGGAGGTCATTGATCACACGAAAATACGTTATCCGAACCACAGCTCCATGAAGGGCTATGCATTCGACTCCGTCAACGAGAGAATCCGGAGCTGATAAGGTCCAATGTGACGGAATGTGTAGTTGCTGAGACCAAGTTACGAGTTCGAAAGCGTCCACGTCAATCCCATCTTTGCCCTTCTCCAAGAATTTGCTTCCAAGCAATTAGCAACCACTGCAAAATTCTCATATGGTCACTTATACGCATACCTGAACTGGATACAAAGCCGCATGTGATCAAGAAATATCTTCACTAGTTCATTTTGCTTGCAGGGGTCTCGCAAAATAGCCGTGTCTCTCGCGGCAGAATCGGGGCCGTTTTTCTCTGTGGAGATGATCTCGATGTCGGAACTATCGAGCACTCTGTAGGATAAATGGCTTACCACCATCCGAGGAGGAAGCTTTGCGAAGAGGGACTGAACCAACTCTCTTAGAAAACAGCACCACCAGACCCTCCTTCGAAGATACTGAGAGTCCAGGATTGAACGAGCATTATCGCATTCTCCTTGTTCCTTCAGACAGATAGAGACCGCAATTCCAGTCCAGTGTCGTCCATCTTTATATCCGCCCGTAAGGTTGCCGCAATACGACATTAAAAGGAGTGCTTGAACAACAGCAACCTCGTCCGGTTCGAAATCGAACTCGTAAAGCAACTACAATTTGAATAAGTGAAGTACATCTTAGCAACGCGCACAAGGTCAATTCTTTAGGGAGAAAACATACCTTTGCGCGATTAAAAAGGACTCGTATGGCCTTTTCTCGTGTGTGAAATCCCATGTTCCTGAAACTGCTCAAATTGACATAGAGCGCACCAATAAACATGATACTTTGGAACACGAGTAAGCTCAATGTGCCTTCATATTTATTGTCTCCTTCAACAGCACAGAGTAAGCTTTGCAGATTCACAACTGGTAAGGTTGGATGCACGTAGTTGATATAACTCCGGATCAGTTCGTCGCGGAATTCTGTACTTGGGATTTCAAACGCCTCCTTTCGACTCAGATACTCTAGAGACTCTTCACTTATGTTTTCAGGCGGTGGGCGGATGAATGAGCAAAATAATGGGGCGACTGTGTGCAAGTGATCGGTTGATTCTTCAGCGATCAGCCGGTTTGGAAGCTCAGAGAGGTTGGCACGAGGCGAAGAATGACTTTTGCTCCCGCTCGAGTAGGTCACCGAATCTTTGGTGGTGTTTATTTCGAAGTCGTCGAGAAATGGTGAGAAAGCCACTATTTTGTCCCGGTTCGGAGTGGACGAGTTAGGACTTGGGTTTTCATCTACCCTGTCCAGCGGTGACGGCTGCCGGTATATTGTTCTAGTTTTGAATTCTTTTCTGCTACTTAGTTGTTTCTGGCTGCAAATTGTTATCAGGTGTGGATACTTGAGCTGGTCAGCTAATTCTCACTTACTCTGGACGCCTTCGTCTCATGACGTCACAGTTCAGATGGTCCAGTGAACAATTTGTGCATGGTTTTGCGAAAACTACGTCACAGCGTACTTTTCGTGACCGACATTGCGCGCAGGCAACTGAAGCTCGCTTCTTTTTCCCTTCGCTGGTGCGTTCCAAGGAACTTGTAACTGTATGTGGCTCTTCCATCGTAAAACCAACTGATTGTTGAATATATAAACAAATCACACCTCACGACTTGTCTATTGACGTAGCAAGCGTGAGTTTTTGTCGTTATTTCGTGGCGATAGATGGGGTTACAAATGGTGTAGTTATTTGCAGACTAGACTCCAGTAAACCTGGTAGAAAATAAGGCTTGAAGGGAAGTAATGAGCCTAAGACCCTGTAACAAGATCTGGAGCGATGTGCGTGATGCTAGCATGACTAACCGTTCGCGTCAAGAGTGATTGGGTTTCGAATCTGGTAGCCTTGTTCGACGTCCCATTTCAGGAAGCAGACAGCGAGGTACATCAACCTCGCTTTCAGGTAATATTGTCAACCTGAGAATTCAGCGTATTGACTAGTACTCGACATGTTCAATAGAATCTGTACCTAGAGGCAACTACCCGATGTGTTACGACAATGTACTTCCTAGTTAATCCGGATTATAATACAAATACTGCGGGGAAATAGGCGGACGATAATAAGCCGAATCTCAAGATAACTAACGTAATCTACCGCCAAGCTCATCACACGGCCGAGCTGATCGCTCCGAAACACATAGAAAGTGCGATAAATTACAACGTCATATCTCCTCAACCATGCGTGGTTTTTACTCAAGTATTAGCAACCACACTCTTATAACTATAAAGAAATGCATGCTCAAATTTGATTCGATTTCAAGAAGTATTTAGTGCTATTACCATTAAATACGCGGTATTTTAGCAACATGATGAAAATGATATGTATTCTTAGGTCAATATTCCTAATAATCTTCTCAAAGTCGTGTCATTTATCAGGAATATTGTTTTGGGATTTCAATGCCCTACCTAAAATTTATATGACTGTTGGGAGATGAATTTGTAGTTATCGCATTTACTATATGTTTTGCAGCGACCAGCTTGGCCGTGGATTACGTTAATCGCTTAGCAGAATTGGTAATCGCCTCTAGAAACTCTTCACATTTGGCAATCGAAATTTCCAAAAATTCCTCGAAAATGCGGCTGGTGGCTTGAGACCCAGCCCGATCACTAAAGAGCTCGCCGTCACTTTCCACGGTTTTGTTTACCCAATCGATGCAAATGCCTCTGCACTTACCTTGGCCTTTCTCTAAAGCGGGTCGGGCTACCGATGGTGGTTGGTTCCTGGGGTTCTCGTATTGACGGTGGCAGGAAACAGCGAACCCCTTTTCCTTGCCAGCAATTGGTCTTTCAACCTTCATTTCTCGACTCCGAGGCTCTACATGCGTCCTGGGTCGCGAATTTCCATCAACATTCAAAACACCCAATTCAGGTCAGGTTCATCCCAAACTGATCTTTGAGATACAGGATCCGTGAAGCAATTATTCTCGATTATTGTCAGGCACCAACACATTGCCGTGAATCATGAAACTTTACGTGGCCCAGATAAACCCCGTGTAGTGAAGAAAGGGGCAAATTGTTCCACGCGATGCTCTCGCATACCCTTTTGAGCTTCACGTCATAAAAACACGATAAATTTCACATTGTAATTGCTATATAATGCAAAATAGGCAGTTCGCTCACTCTCAAATCCCAACGACTACTCTGCCCTGCAAATTCCCTGTAGACATGCGCTGGAATATCTGTAGCGTCATCAGTGTCAGCGTCTAATAATAGAAAATTGCAGTTGACTGGGTGTGTATGCAAAGGTTGTGACTTACATCCGTGAGGTTTTCCAGCGGCTCTAGAGTATAATTTGTCTTGACGATTCCTCGGGCCGCCATCTCTAAAATAGCCTCCGCATCTTTCTTATTTCCCACTGAGACAGCCGTAATGTTCAGCTGGGATACGATGAGGTGGGAAGGCTTCGCACTGCCAATGGGTACAGAAACTCCTTCCGGTATACCAACACACACCAAGGTGCCACCAAACCTCAGGAATTGTAAAGCTTGTGTGTAGACGTCGTTGCTGGCTGCGCAAACAATTGCGGCATGGCTACCCAAATTGCCGGTGAGGCTCTTCACTTCCTCGATAATTGACGAAGAGTCTCCTTTCGTGACATCGACAAAGTGTTCCGCCCCGCTGTCCAATACCAGTTGTTTCTTGCTCCCATGGTCAATGCCGATGACTCTAAGTCCAAGTCCTCGGGCAGCAACCTGGACTCCAATGTGGCCAAGTCCACCGCCGGCTCCGGATATGACAAGCCAGTCACCTCCACGCGCATTGGATTTCCGCAATGCCGCATACATGGTGATGCCGGCACAGAGCATAGGCGCGGCGTCTGCCGAAGAGAGGGAATCCGGTATTGGAGTCACATAATCGACTGGTCCAACCACATATTGCTGAAATGTGCCTGGTCTGAAATACCCCGAGATGGTTCGCCCGAAGCAGACCCCATCAGCTTGATCTATGCAGGCCGCTGTTCCATACTTAGCTGCAGTTCACCCAAAATTGGAGGATTGGCCTACCGCAGCGATTGCAGACACTTCCTACCCATTTGATACCAACTCTGTCTCCGATCTTCATAATTGTATCCTTCACTCCGGGGCCCAGCTTAACAACCACCCCGACACCCTCGTGACCGCCTACTTGACCTATTCGACATAGACAGTGAGTAGATAGATCTTTGGAAGGGAGTGAAATTTCCTACCCTTTGGAGTGGGATGGGGCATGACATCCCATGAATTGGTCATGACGGCTAGGTCTGAGTGGCAAACACCCGAATGGGTGCTAGTCGGAGTTATCAGTTACGCTGTCATAACTCGATTCCGCAATTGCGAACGAGGATGATAAGCTCCAAGAGAGTACAGAGATACGAATGAACGACTCACAGCCTGACCAAAACTTCTCCCACGTTGAGTTCCGGAGTTGCAACATCAACAATCTTCGTGCTGACTATGCCCGGGTTATCGTATATGGCAGCTTTGTGGGTTTTGGGGGTTTCTCCTGACATGGTGGTGAATTAGGTGGTCCTCTCTTTGACTTGTAATAAAGGCAGTGTTTCGCGTGTCAGATTTAAATATGTGGTCTGAAGCTCCGTCTCCAAACTCAGTGCCACGGGCCACGAGGTGAACGGAATTGGCCATATTAATTGAACCGAGGCCAAGGAGATCCACAGGTTATTGTTCGGACGAAAGGAACGGGGAAGGACCTGCGGAGTTTTCCATCAACCGGAGCAGCATCATGGTGGGTGTTTTTGGAGGGGAGCTGTCTTGATTTTTCGCACCTTTGCGGGGTCCGGGGCAAGGGCAGCAGAAGCGTTATCAGAGGCAGGTCTCAGCGAGACTGTTCTTTTTCGCGCTAGAATGAGGTCCATACGGTAGTCGTAGGGGTCGACTGGAGTTATCCCGGATTCTAATTTCTGTCCATGTTTTCAATGCCTGGAACTACCGATAGATGAGAGATCCAATATGTAACACTCTATTTCTATAATCGACGTATACGCCCTCTGAATCGAAACAATCGAATCGGAATAATCAAATATTGGAGCCACAGTACCCGCGAAATGACCTACAATGAGATTTCAAGCACCTTATATCATTTTGAAACTAGAAAGGCGACATGCATCTAAAACGGTGTAGTTGCGATGGAGTTACATGGTGAGCAAAGCGAATAATTCATCATGGGACTCTACAGGAATTTTCCGACATGGACAAAGCCATAGGCGGCTATTCAAAGCTCAAGTCTTTTGGCAAAAAGAGAGACGAATAGGACGCTTGTTCCCCAGTGTAGAATTGGTTGTCACCATTTGCCCAGACCGGTGGGGACATTGATGGCAGTAAATATAACGACTACATATTCACCGACGGCTGCGGCCTTATCTGAGATGCCTCCAAACGAAAAATGCCGTCGATGATAGCGCAACAAACAAAATGTTCAATCCAAATCTTCCAATCATTGTCTCCTCGACGACTCGTCCAACATGGCTGGTGTTGGAATCGGTCAGGGTCTTCGCATAGGAGCCAGAGACTAGATAATCCGTCCACCGTATGACGGATGTGAGCTTTTGATATTCGATGACAGTGCCACTCCAGTTGTTGGTGATGAGCCCGTCCTCCATCTTATACCAACTCTTGCATGTAGGATTGGCATATGTACTCTTCAACAGCTTTTGTTGGATCTTCTCATTGAACAGCTGGACTGTTTGCTGGGAAGGGCTGATGGCCAAGGATGTATTTTGTGCCTTTGCTTCACAGACCTTTTTGATGATCTCGGAGATGTAGCGAGACTGTGCTTCGATCATCAGAATGATGGAGTTGTGTCCAAGGTTTGTATTAGGCCCATAGAGCATTGCGAAATTGGGAAGAGATTCCACGGTCATGCCGAGATATGCTCTCGCCCCACCCTGCCAAATGTCTTGAATCGATCGCCCCTCCAGGCCATATACCTTGATTGGGTACAAAAATTCAATCGTGCGAAATCCCGTTGCAAGGACGATCATGTCCACCTTGTACTCATTGCTTTCAGTGGTGATGCTATCTGACGTGATGGATTTTATTTTCTCTGTCTCCAGGGCCACATGTGGTTGGTCCAAGGCCGAGAAGAGGTCATCAGAGATAATGACACGCTTGCAACCCGGAGGGTAGTCCGGTGTCAGGTTTTTGATGAGCTTTGGATTATTTTGAATCTGTCTTTTCATGAGATCAAGGCTCATGGTACGCAGAAGTTCTTTGCCATTCTCGTCATTAGTAACAATTGCATCGAAGAGCGCCGATTCTCTGATGTCCATGAGTTCTGCGCGGTACCTTCGGCGGGCACCAGGCACGTAACGGTAGAGATTCCGCCGCCATTGAGGGATATCGGCATCTTCCCGAGGTATCACCCAGTTGGGTGTGCGTTGGAATACTCTTACGCTCTTCGCATCCTTTGCAACTTCTGGAATGAGTTGAGCAGCGGTCGCTCCGCTCCCGATGACCGCAATCTTCTTCCTTTCGGTCTTGTGGTTCCAGTCCCAACGTGCGGAGTGGAGGATCTTTCCTTCGAAAGTGTTGATGCCTGGGATTTCTGGATAATAAGGGGAGTTCAGCTGGCCGACAGCGGACACCAGAAAATCCGATGTTATGGTGTATGAATCGGTTGTTTCGGCATCCTTTGAGCCACTCGAAACTCGGACCGCAGTCTCCCACTTGGAGAGACGGTCACTCCATCGCGCCTCCTCAACAATCGTGTTAAAGCGGATGTACTCGTATAACCCCCATTTCTGAGCGGTCCTCACGAGGTAGGTGTGTATTTCTTTTTGGCTGGAAAATTCGCGAGTCCAGTCGGATGCCTCAAAAGAGTACGAATAAAGATGGCTCCACACTAGATGTTTGTTAGCAAAGTCATTTAATGTCAGCATGTAGAAATGGCAGAGGTACCATCACATCGACTCCCGGGGTATCTGTTGTCACCCCATGTCCCGCCGACATAGCTACTCTTCTCGACAATGATGAAATTGTGACAATTATGTCGTCGAATTAAGTCAATTGCCATGCAGATACCTGTATAGAGAGTGAGATCAGCACGTATTCAATGCGTAGAGTAATTCACTCATAGGTCATTACCGGAGATACCAGCCCCGATGATGAGCACAGTGGGATTGCTGTAGTCTGCGTTTTGGACAGGCTGCTGATATTCTGCTGCCATATTTGCTGTGTTGGTCGTTTTCTCTGGCGGTGAATTTTATGACGTCGGGCCAGTAGGAAAATCAAATTTGGCAAGTCAATGTGAACAATTGAAGAGTAAGTTCTTGCAAAGCCTACACAGATGAACTATCAATAAATACCGACAGCAGCGGGCGTAAGCACAAATTTTTCTCCGTTCTTAGAGGCCAAAATTGAATGATCTCAACAAAAGGTTCTCGGAAGCGATTAATTGCGCCACAGTGAGGGCAAGTGACAACGAGCTCAACTCAGCTAATTAGAGTTTGGTGTTTGTGATAGTCATGTTGGGCTCATTAGCGTGTGGGGTTGGGTGCATTGGATTGCGGAGGTACAGTAAAATGAGTGGCGGTGCCACAAGCGTTGTGATTCTGCTCTGATGGTGAGTACTATGGCTCAAATATCCTCGGTTGTCGCTGTGACTTACTGCTCCGGGCTAACGGAATGCTCACTGTTGCTTAACGTCTTAGATCATACGTACCGATGGGTCTTCCCCCTCCGTAAACATAGAACGACACATGATCGTACGTTCTGCAACACTGCGCTAGATACCTTCATCCTGTTTTGCGAGATATTAGCAAGATTCCAATATAAATGCGACGTGTTCATTTGCAAAAGTAAGTGTACTATCTCATATGAAATAGCGTTGTCATTGAAAATCAAAGACAGCCCTTCTTCTCTTACCCTTCACCATGTCAGATTTGACTCTCAATTTGACTGCTCCTAATGGGCTCAACTATATGCAGCCAATTGGATTGTTTATCAACAACGAATTCGTCAAGTCAGCTTCACGGGTAAAGCTGTCAACTATAGATCCTGCGTATGTCTCTCTCGGACGTGACAAACAAGGCTATACTGACAGATTTGAGCTCTTCAGGACTGAAGCAGAAATTGCAAGTGTGTACGCCGCCTCAACAGATGATGTTGACGTTGCCGTTAAAGCCGCACGGAAGGCTTTTAATGAACCGTCCTGGGCTGGTATCTCGTCGACTGATAGAGGAAATCTGCTGCTAAAACTAGCATCACTTGTCGAGGAAAATGCTCACCACTTAGCTACTATTGAGTCGTGGGACAATGGTTTGTTTTTCCCTAGGGAATGAAACGATTTCGTGCTAAACCAATGTTTTCTTGTCCAGGAAAGCCGTACATCCATGCTCTAAATGTCGATATTCCAGCGGTCGCCAACACATTTCGATATTATGGCGGTTGGGCCGACAAGATTCAAGGTGACGTGATAGAGACTAGCCCTCAAAAGCTGACATATACAATTCGGGAGCCCGTCGGAGTTTGTGGTCAAATTATCCCGTATGTTAAATCCCTCTATACTGAAGTCTAGCTGAATCTTATACGACGAACAGTTGGAATTTCCCACTGGTGAGAGCCTATGGAGTCGGCATTGAGCCGTGGTATCGTCTTCATTACAGTCCATGACAGCTGACAACTTGCCAGGCCATGGCCGCATGGAAACTTGGTCCTGCCCTTGCATGCGGAAATACATCGGTACTAAAGCCTGCAGAGCAGACTCCACTGTCCATTCTATACTTGGCAACTCTTATCAAAGAGGCAGGGTTCCCTCCAGGAGTCGTTAATATTCTCAACGGGCACGGCAGAACCACGGGAGACGCCATTGCTACCCATGTCGATGTCGACAAGGTTGCTTTTACAGGGTCCACAGCGACTGGTAGACAGATCATGCGATCAGCAGCTCTCAACTTGAAGAACATTACCCTCGAGACGGGAGGCAAGAGCCCCCTTCTAGTTTTCAATGACGCAGACTTGAAATCAGCTGTTGCCTGGGCACACACCGGTATTATGTTTAACCAAGGCCAAGTGTGTACTGCCAACAGTCGGATTTTAATCCAAGAAGGCATTTACGATCGGTTTCTTGTTGCCTTTAAGGAACAAGTCAAGAAGGTCTCTAAAATAGGAAATCCATTCGACGACGCCACCTTCCAAGGTCCTCAGGTGACCCAAGCTCAATTCGACCGTATCGTGAGTTATATTGACAGCGGGATCGCGGAAGGAGCATGTCTAGCATATGGGGGCAAGCCTTATAAAAATGTTAATGGTAAGGGCTTCTTCATTGAGCCGACCATCTTCACGAATGTGAAAGACGAGATGAAAATCTGCCAAGAAGAAGTGTTCGGGCCCTTTGTGGTAATCTCGCCATTCAAGACGGAGGAGGAAGCGGTACGCAGAGCCAATGACACCCCTTTTGGTCTCGCAAGCTCAGTAGGATCTCCAAAAAACCCCTATTTTTCATAAATATTAATGCATAGACAGGTCTTTACACAAGACATTAAGAAGGCGCATCGCGTTGCGAGAGCCATCCAGGCAGGAATGGTATGGATCAATTCAAGTGGCGATTCAGACTTCCGGTAAACTCAATTATCCCGAACTGTGAACCTCTTTTTTCAAGGACCACTGACTGACAAGTGCGCTTAGTATCCCATTCGGAGGTGTAAAACAGTCTGGTATGGGCAGAGAGCTGGGAGAGGCTGGCCTTGCAGCATATACCAATCTCAAGGCTGTTCATGTAAATTTGTCTTAAGTAGTTTTGGGCCGAAGGAAGTCGCTTCTCAAATATATCATGGACTTGACGCTTTATCAAGCACATATATCTGATGTCTGACCTTAAATACATACTTTACAAGTAGATGTTGGAACCAAGGCCAATTCCTAGCAACAGGGATTTCTATTGTCTAGAATTTGTCACTCCCTTCTATAAGAGTCAGCAGCATGCCCTATGTAAAATATTAAAACAATATAAATGCCTTCAAATTTAACTCCGGTTTGCTTGTTGCTAATAGCTAATATATAATATGTCACTCGCAACATGCATAGATCAAGGGACGCCCGGCCCTATCTCCATCAGAGGTTGGCAACTCTCTGAACTCGCCATATTGGAAGGCAACTAGGGAACGAAGGACACGCTGAAAACGAGCTCTTCAGAGATGTGTAGTAAGCTAAGATCTGAAGAGGGATAGGGTGTGACGGGCCAGTGCTCAGCTAGGATCACGTGCTACCGTGTGCCTATACTTTACTTGTTTACACCACAATTCCACCCCGAATCCTTTCCTTCTCTAGAGGATCTAAATAGGTGGAGATTATGTGGCCATATAGCAGTCTGACCTACGAATAACCCAAACATGTGACTTCATCCCTGATGTCTTTAACTCAAAGGAATTATCTAAGTGAGAATGACGCTTGCTGTGACTACTAGCCATGATCTAACTATTGGCCAAGTATAAACCAAATACCATTGACCAAATCGTCCAAAAATTGCGCACGCTGCTTCAGCTGGGGAAATATCCAGAAATAGTGCGGCATCCCTTCATATTCGGTTATCTTATTCGGCACCCTATGTGTACCAATGAGTAAAGTGTGATAAAGATAATTATTTAAAGTCACTTACTTGTGATTGTCCAGTTCCTGCTTAAAGAGCCTGGCATCGTCTCTTAGAGGGTCCGCCGTACATGAAACAAGATAAGTAGGCGGTAGTTCTCCGATTCTTGGATTGCACAATAGAGAAATAGATGGATCTGTTGGCGCTGCACCATAATTTTCTAAAAGAATATCAACAAGGGCAGGTCTTATAGAAAGAGCGTTATACGTACCAAAGAATATATCCATGGTAGTCTTGTTAATAACTGGTGTCGCTACGGATTCTGCGTAGGATTTGTACGCAGATCTGTGCTTTGAAGGCACACCGTCTGGATGCACGGTGACAGGTACGATTGCAACGATGCCCGTCACATTTATCTCCTGATCGAGGGTTTTCAAAACGACGGAAATAGCCAAGTTTCCTCCTGCAGAACCTCCTATTGTAAATAGTCTTGTTTGGTCTCCACCCAGACCAGAAACATTCTTCCATGCCTATAACATGATAAGCATCTCCGTTAATGCATCTCCGTTAATAAGCCGGGATCACTTACCCAAATGAGTGCGTCTACAGCATCATTGTGCGCAGCCGGGGCTTTGAATTCAGGAGCAAGACGGTAGGCTACCGCGATTATAATGGAAGGGACCTGAACCGCAACGTGAATGCATGTTGCTTTTCGAATGTCAAAATGTGGATAACAGAGTTATAACCTTCCAAACGTACCCTCTTCCGCTTCGATGTTTCCAGAAGCCCAACCTCCGCTGTGGAAGCTATGGCATTGTTAGTCACAGCTAGATTAGTGAACTAGTTAACTAACTAGTTAGTTAACTAAGTGCGATTTCTAGGAGTGTGCTTACTAAACACCGACTGGCAGTGGGTCCTGAGTAGCTACTTCTGGCGTGAACACTCGAACACGAAGTCCCGAATCGGTAGCACGTTCCTCTACTTCAAAATTAGATCAGCCCCAAAAAAACTTCAGCTCAGTTCAATCATTACCGATCCTCGGCTTAGGATTTGGCACAGGATAAGTAGGATTCAAGGTATCCGCGATGTGGTTGGAAGCTGCTCTTATTTCTTCAATGCTGCCGAGCAAAACGGGACGAGATCCAAGACCTTGTTCAAGCTACTTATTTCTGTAAGGCCTGTCAGGTGTAACTACAAGGGGGGAGGGCGGGGGAGAATTTACCAGCAGCCAATCTGGGTGAATGGGAACCGACATCTTTGTTGTAAGCTTCGTTTGTCTCTCGATTATACGTGAATAACCGAGACTACAAAATAAGGTGGTGACGAGCAGTGTGCAGTCGTCCCCTTTATAGGCTTCGTGTATTATCCGCCCTAGTTAACAGGCGACCAGTGTGCGGGGTTCCTATTTTTCGTTTTGGAATCTGCCAACTTTAATGACGTTGCCGGGTTGGGCGTGGGTCCCTCCGGCCTCAAGTATAGCAGTCGACAGCGAGCTACGGCTCATAATTAAAAGGAGTTTGATTAAGCTTTTGCTCACCTCTAGATGCGTCAAGGGCCGTTAACACACCTGCAGTAATAGACAGGATCGAAGTATATCGACACTACTTGCCATAAAATAGAAACCGTGAGCAGATAAAAGGAAACTGATAGTCCAGAGAAGGTGATAATGAGCCCCTACTCATACAGTACTTGATAAAACCTCGTAAGCGAGATGAAGGAAGAAACAAATTTGAGTTGTTATTCGACTCGAGCTTTGTGCTTTTAAACTGGCTTTTGGTATTTTCGACAAGTAAACCAACATTTCGAGACGGTGAACTTAATCGCAAATCAAATGACTGTATCCAGACCAAGTCGACTTCGCTATTCCTTCATTGTGCCTGCTTAACATCCACCATGCCCGTCAAAATAATGCAAACCATGTCGGTCTCCTGAGACCATTCCAATCACTGTGAAATAGCCTTGGGTTCTTCAAAAGCAATTCTCGAGTATGCCAGCCAATTCATCCCACTGATAGCGCATACCACCGAAAAAACCACTATAGCCCAATTCATCGTATCCGTAGTGACCGGTATGTATGGCGGAAAGCAAAGCCAGACAAAAACGAAACATATCCAAAACACCGAGATAACGTTCAAAACCGTACCGAACACATGACCCAGATTAAAATAATGAGCGGTAGAGAAACCACTGCGTTTCCCGATCAGGGAACAAAGAATAGGAATAGCGTACGAAGCGAAAATGCAGAGGACTGCGGTCCCTAGGATTGCGTTAAGGGCGGTCGCGGAGCCGAGCTTCAGCAGCCCGATGAGGATGCAGGCGAAAGCCGAAAAACAGACACTATTAACCGGTACCTTCCAGCGACCGCTGATTCGGGCCATGAAGGGAGAGAAAGGGACGCCGCCGTCGCGGGCGAGCGACCACCAGATACGGCTAAAGGTCGTCATCATTGTGACGCTAGCGCAGAGGAAGCATGTGATGAAGACCAAAGAACCGACTACAGTCAAAGGGAAGGATTCGAGAGAGTCGACCATTAATTGGATTACCGGTTGGCCGCCGACAGGATTGAGCAGATTGTCTGGTTTTGTGATGCAGAACATATATACCAGAATCATCGGTAGTCCACTAGCAGCGCTCGCCAGGGCACTGATGAACATAACCTGCGGAACCTGACGTTCTGGCCTTGGGAGTTCTTCGGCCATGTGTGCCGCGCTGTCAAAGCCGTTGACCGCCGTGAGTCCAGGAAGGAGACCGAGGAAGAAGACGACGCCGTTGGACGGCCAACCGGTCTGATTGACAAACGCTTTGAAAACATAATCGGAGCTTTGCTTGGGCTTCGCACGGACCAGGAGGACAATAAGGACGAAAAGAGCACCAGCATTGATATAGATCACCAGCCCCTTGAGAAATTGAGGGTACCATTTGAAGAAGGGGATATTAGGGAACAGGGTAAAGACGCCGACAGCGAAGTACCCGACGTAAAAGTGCCACGGCAACGTGATAAAGGTGGGGTGGCATATTTGTACGAGGGCCCAGATCAATTGCGATGAGATAAGGAGTGCGGCAGAAGTCCAGAAGAAGTAGCCCGCCGCTGTGAGCCAACCGACCAAGTAACTGAGGCCACGCCCGTGCCCACGAGGAGCCAACTTTGCGGTCCAATAAATTTGCCCTGCGAAACAGAGTCAATTAGGAGGATCTGTCAAACATGGCGGCTTCCGAGACCAATCGAAAAATGCAAGACCCGGAAGAAAAGGCGAGCAATTACCTGAAGAGTGCGGATATTGCGCTGCCATTTCTGCCAGGGAGGCACAGATGCACATATCTAGACATACTGCAAGAATGTACCCATAGAAAAATACAGGGCTGCCTCCTACACCGATAACAACGGAGAGGTAGGTGCCGACGGCCAAGGGCGTGGACGTGACGGAGAAAGATATCCCCAATGTGCTCCAGAGACTGAAAGGCTTGTCGAGCTGGAGGCACCACACTTCACCCGAAGCCACATCGTGGCCCGGATGTTGTTCGGAGATGGAGCCGGGGGTCTTCATTTCCACGTCCTTTTCTCCCATAGTTTTCGACAAGAAGATGAGTTGAGATTTGACCAGAATGATGGCGAGTTGTAAAGCTGAGCGGAGAGGTATCAGAGTTCTTGCTAGAGGGCAAGGTAAATTAGGTCGAGGTAGATAGGGCTTTATACCTACATTAGGGCCTGCTATAAGACGTCTCGCAATTATTGGTATTTCGGTCCCCGGATAAGAAAGAGCCTTGGTCGGCGTCTCTCATATGTGTGGCTGTCAGCTGCTACAGCTTCACCAATTCAGAACGCCTTGCGAATTAAGGTTGGCATACCGAAGCTTATCGCCACAGGTTCTCTGTTATCCATAAACTCGGGTATTAACGAGACGCAAAGGCCAATCAAACTTCCAGTTGCTGTTGGGGCTGATACGTGTGAGCACAGGCCGCTCTCTGGGGAGGCTGAGACCTCCACAGGTGCCTAGAGGGGGCGAACCACGCCGTTGACGCTAGCGAGGATTGGAAAGTCACAGCGAGAAGCGGGGTAATCTAGAACTGAGAACTTTAAACACCCGTCAGTTCCTCATCATGAGGTGACGTTATGGGTCTAGTGACGGCGGTCTCGGCCGGTCGGCCCTAGTGCAGCCGATAACGCATGATAAGACCCAGCCGAGCCCTCCTTCCAACGGCAGGGTCTCTGTGTCGGTTGCCAATTTCAAAACCTGCAACTACCTAGCGTTTCCACACCGACCCTACCATGACCCGGCGCGCTACCCTACGATCCAGGAAGCCCGTCAAGCGATCCAAGACGTTCACCGGGTGCTGGACCTGTCGCTCTCGCGGAGTAAAATGTGATGAAGGCAAGCCGATATGCTCGCGATGCGAAAAAGGCCTCTTCACTTGCGCAGGATATGGAGTGAAGCTGATTTGGCCTGGCGACGGCGCAGAGGGTGCGATCTCTGTCCAAAGACGTCTACTTAGTCGTATGCAGCATGAGGCCCCGACTCTGAGTGACCAAGCTCTCGACCTTTTCTTGGAATCCTTGGATTCCTCCGTCACTGACCAGGAATTCTGTGGTCCTTTTTCGGTCTTCAGACTATCGTGGTCTACGATATCGGAGCCTGACACATCGTCAAAGAAAGCTTCTGATGATATTCAATTGAGCATATGCGTGCACGAAGACACATCACCGATTCAGAATCTGGAGGCCGACGATGCCAGTATCTCATTTCTATTCGAGCAGGATGCGAACCCTCCCAACATCGAAGGGTATATTCATGGAACGCCTGAAGAAATGATATTTGACGATCTCAGGCTCCTGCTGGGCACTGATAGCTCGTCGAGCCGTGTTGCATTGGGCTCTGAAAGTTACCAGGACGCGGGTATGCTTCTCGCGCTCTACGACAGTCGACCTGGAACACTGCAGGCCCTTCTGACTGACCATACCCGACTGCATATCTCGCACTCTGATGATTGGTCTCCACTCGATACTGATGCGGCACAGAATGTGGAGACGCCCCTGCCTGCATTGGAGTCAGACTTTTCACTCGAAGACTACATCATACAGATTGAGATGGCCGACTTTCTCCACCCGATCATCCCCCCCGGGACCAGCGAAGAGCGGCAGTTGATGCATTACTGGGTAACGTACCTGAGCAACCTAATGGTCTCCGTAGAGTCACCGGACAACCCCTATCGTACTCTCTGGGTTCCGATAGCCTTGTATTCATCCGTACAAGGGCATGAAGTTCCGGGACATGCTGCTCTCCTACACGCTATCTATGCAATCTCAGCCTTTAACCAAGTCCAGAGGTCCAGCACCGGCCGCGAATCCCTCTCCATAACGGCCACAAAACACTATCAGCTGAGTCTCGGATATCTACGAAAGGCGCTGACTGAGGATCGCGGCTCGCAACGAGAAGCCATCTTGGCAACCATCAGCACTATGTCATTTATCGAAGTTATAAACGGCAATTCCTCCACATGGCGTGACCATCTGAAAGGGGGGCGCGAATGGCTCCGCTCGTTTGAGCGGACCAAATGGAATGGACCGAGCACATCGATACTTTATCAACTCTTCCTGTGTGCGGAAGCTCTGGGCTCTTCGCTTTCGAGTATGGCTTCCAATGCTCGTTCTGGAAATTTTGTCAACATTTGTGATGAGGAATACACCCACAACTGTGTCTTTGGTGTCACGAGCTTACTTTTAGAATCGGAGTATTGCTTGGATCGATATTTCGGAATCACACTTCCAATATTAGAGGCTATTATCCACATCACCCACCTGTCTGTCCGTCCACGCAGGCCCTCAATGGTTGAGCTTGAGGGTTTGGAAGTCAAAATTCGACTTAACAAACCAACACCGTCCCATTCAAATACATTTGCCGCTTCGGGGAAGCATATCGCAATGGATTATGCACGCGTCTTCTACTACGCATGTTACATTCATTTCAAGCATACGCTTCTCCGTGTCCACTCTCGGAACCTTCAGGACCTTGTCCGCCAAAGTCTCAAGCACTTAGAAGCCATCGAGATTCACGAGGCAACCTCAAGAAACTGCGGGCTCCTGTGGCCTATTTTCATCATTGCCTGCGAGGCTGACGAAAAGGAGTCACGCATCACTGTCAGTAAATGGTTCATGAAAGGACAGTCAGTCGGCGTTGCAAATGTGACATCGGCAGCGAAAGTCGTCGTAGAGGTTTGGCGGAGAAGGGACGTGGCGAAGGGGTGTGGCATGGACGATTTTGTTTGCTGGGGGAACGTTATGGCAGAGATGGGCTTAGATGTACTTTTACTTTGACGATCTGTGACGCCTTCGTGTGGGTTGCGCCACCGACATCTCAATGCCCATTACGAGACTTGAAAACATATCCAGTCCGACTGCTGGATGAGCCATCGAGGCCTAACTGGCCACGGAAGTCACGCCGGAACAAGTTATTTTAGACTTTAGCTAATCCGTTAGCGTTCTGGTCTCGGGGGCTAGCACAGGGCGCACCTGGTGCTCACTGTCGGTTTCCTTAAAACTCGGAATAACTCGCTGTCATCTGCCATGAAGGTGCAGAAATTGACAGAGGAGCCACGCCTTAGCGACAGTCAATGTCAGTTCAAACCTGACACCGTTCCTAGCCTCGACACCGAATAACTAAGGCGTAGCGTATTGCGATACTCTTGGTCAATCTATCAATACTAACGTAGTGGATTCCACCCATTTTTCATGATCACCTTTCAGTCTCACTTTGGGCGTAGATCCTTGGAGATAGGTAACCCTATCCCTCCGAGTGGACCGAGCCCTTCCAAAGCGACGTTTGACCATATAATCAATGGCTTCCATATAGCTATATACCGCATTGTATTTCGCCAAGGAAAACGCAGATCTACGCGCTGGAAACGAGAAAGAACGGCAACAGGCTAAGCTGTCGACACGACAGATAGCCCACGGCGGTGATATATCGGTCGCAGACGGAGAGGCGTTGGTTGAGCGGCCTACTCAGCCGGCGGAGGATGTTGAGCCTACGCAGCCAGCCGAGGCTAAACAACTTATGCAACTTACACAAAAGGCTGGGCTAAATGAAGTGGTTGTAATCAGATAGGGCGTAGGGCTGATAAATTTCAAAATGTAACAGCGTTTTGGTTGTGAAAATATATTTCCAAAATGGAGGGAGTGATGAGATGGCCGATCCGACCGGGAACTACGTTAGTCATAGCAGCTGTTTAAGTTAGTTAGCCGGAAGAGAGGACGAAGTAGACCAGCTAAGCGACTAGGATATCGCGATAAGAGGGTTGAGACCTGGTCGGGAGGCCGATACTTCAGAATTAGATTGAGGAAGATTGAAGGTTGAAAAAATCCCCCCGCGATTTCTAGTGGGTCAGAGATAAGCCAGAAGGAAGGCCATAGCGAGCTAATCATAGCTCTGGATGACCTTCCAAAGTCCCATGGTTTCTACGCAACTCACAGCGAGCCAGAATGTAGATCTATCTCAGACACAGCATACGCTGCAAGGAGATGAAGACCAACATGAAACTACAGCTTCGGCTGCAAGTCATCTCCATTTCCGAAGCATCTCAAAAGTTGTTTGGATTGCGGCGCAGTACGCTGTCGGAGGTTTAACCACGAGAGATCAGCCCGGATTTTCTATTATCCGTGTACTCCTTCAGCTTGTTGACTCGCGATGGAATCCAAGATACCTCATCGACATCCCAACGTATAACTCCCGTTGGCCTAGATTTGCCAAGGCGCTGTGTGAAAGATTTGGCTACAAGCCTACAACCAAGTCTAGCTTATAGTATCTGGAAGTGGTGCTGATCTGGCGGTAAAGATTGCTGGAAAGCAGAGGCATGAAGTTAAGCACATCCCATTTGACAAGGCCCTGATAGTCGGGATGGCAGACAATTACAGGATCCAAGCCCAACGAGAACAGATACAGTCAATTGCCCAAGCCCTAAATGAAAACCTCCGCTGACATTTCAGTCGTCAGACGATGAGGTTAAAAACGGTATTCTGGGTAGTATGAGGGCAGAAGCTGCATAAATATCCTAAACTCGACATATTATTTTAACGCTCATATGGAGTAGAGATTTTATCTTTATACTTTATGGGGATCTAAACCTATTTTGGTTGGCGCTGCGTAGAATGTGTTAGCCGTAACCGTGAAGTAACCCGTTCTTCACGGCAACACAGTGGGAATACCAAGAGGTTGTTTTTTATTGAAAAAGGAAATCTTCTAAAGGGTAGAAATATTATATTACAGGCAAATTGCCGCGGCTAGACAAAACAAAGCCCACCGTTGGCATTCACCGTACTGCCAGTCGACCAGCGACTCCCTTCTTCAGACAAAAATGCCACAATCTGTGCGATGTCATCAACATCTGCTATCCTTGCTCCGGCCGGGGTTTCCTTCATCTTAATATCCCACTCGTCAAGGACGGCTTGATCGGTGTCTCGTAACCACATGTCGGTCTTCACAGGACCCGGGTTGACGCAGTTGACAGTGGCACCATATTTCTGACCGAGTTCGAGGGCCCATACTTTGGTTACTCCCTCCAGCGCCGCCTTCGTCGCACAGTAAGCGGTGGAATACGAGCCGCCCATGCGGGCGATCACGCTGGAGACATTGACAATTCGGGGAGCGGCCCCAAGATGCGGCATAGCTTCTTTGACGAGGAATGTAGGAAATCGAAGGTTGCAGTCGAGAATCTTATCCCAGAGCTCGTGGGTCATGTCGGCCAGAAGGCAGTCGTCGCCCGCACCGGCATTGTTGATGATGATATCAATGTGACCCCAGGTCTCCACGCACTTGGCCACAATTCGTCGCGGTGAATCTCGGTCACTGCCGCCAGCTTGCACACCTTCTGCAGCGACACCCAACGACTTAAGCTGGTTGATCACCTCGGCCGCCTGATCGCCGGCTTTGTTGTAGGTGATGAGCACGTTGGCACCTCGCTTTGCCAGCTCAAGTGCAATGCCGGCTCCGATGCCACGGGAGCCACCAGTGACAATTGCAACCCGGCCTTGGAGAGACTTATGAGTGGATGCCATCTTCGAAGGTAGTCTTGGTGAAAATTGGTCGATCTCGAGATGTAGATCGAGATGTAGATTATGTGCGCAAACTAGCGGAGGAAAAGGCTGGAGAGTGGAAAGAACAAATGCCGGAGTAATTGAAACAGCAAGCTGGAGCGAATATATAGTACTGAAAGACTCATAAACTTTTTTTGGTTATTCCAAGTCATTGTCCTGGATCGGACGGCTCGCTGTTACTTGCCTCATATGTGCTTGTAACATCGAGTTCCTCGTTCTCGTACTTATCAGACCGAACGCACGGTGCACAGATAGGCAATTGGCCGCATGATAGATTAGATACTGTCTTCTTGTATCAGTTTGAATTGCATCAAGTTGCAACGACCTCATGAACTCTCTCGCTATCGGCTTCCAGCACTGGTGATATCATATCAAGAAGGGGTTTGATTCTGTCTTTTACGTTCCTCGCGGTATCAGGCCATACCCAGGTCGAATGGTTTGTTCATGGCGGCTGAAAGGTCATGTATATAAAGAGCCATCATAGTCGTCTAATAAGATAAGGCCTACTTCAATAAACCACGTTACAAACCTTGTCACTCATTGACCAGAATCCTAATAGAGCACCTTGCATCTTTTAGTGATGGCTACCAACGCCATCCCATCTGTTCCAGTGGTGGATGCCACAGCCTCGGTCAATGAGATTGTCGCTGCCCTCAAGGTCGCTGGAGGTGTGATTATTCGCAACGCAGTGTCACAGGAAGCACTGGATCAGGTTGAGTATATATTCCTTGTCTTCTATCATCCTGAATATACACTCATGCCGAGTTAGGATCGACGTTCGACCGGGTCTAGAGAACGACACAGCATGGAGCGGTTCTTTCTTCCCAGCCCAAACCCGCCGCACCACAGCTGCGCTCCAGAAGTCGCCGACCTATGCGCGTGAAATCGTCATGCACCCGCTATTCCAGGGCGTGTCAAACCAGATGCTAACGGAAAAGCACTGGTTCTGGGCTGGTGACCAGAAGCAATGGGCGGTCTCTCGTCCGCAACTCTCCAACACCATTGTCTTCAGCATCGGGCCCGGTGCCACAGCGCAACCTCTACACCGTGACGACTCGATCCATCAGCGTGTTTCTAAGGCTGTGGATGTGTACCCCGAGGGCCGTGAAGGTTCGCTACGCGATAGTAGCATTGGATTCTTTGTGGCCGGCAAGAAAGCTACGAAAGCCAATGGCGCCACGCGATTCATTCCACGAAGTCACCTGTGGGACCACGACGCCCCGCCAAATGAGGACTTGTGTGAGTTTGCAGAGATGGAACGTGGGGATGCATTCCTGATGATGGCTTCGTGTTTCCATGGCGGATCTGCCAACACCACAGCCGACGAGGAGCGACTCATTTTCTCAACCTTCATGACCAAGGGCTACTTGCGGCAAGAAGAGAACATCTATCTCGCCGTGGATTTGGATGTCATGAAAAAATATCCAGTTGAGATTCAGAAAGTCGCTGGATACAGCCTTAGCGAGCCATTCTTGGGATGGGTGGATTCAGCAGACCCTCGCAAGCTGCTGGACAAGGAGATACCTACCAATACCGATATGTGGACAGGCATCGAAGAGCCGAAGGATATCATCGCGGTCTAAAAGAGATCTGTTGCATTGATTGAAGATCTGTTGAGTATACAGCTGGTCTTTCACCTTAGAATGGATTGATAGCAAAATGAAACCACCTTGAGATAGTTACCCGGCGCTTCTCAAGTCTTCATTCCTAATCCCATTACTCAAATAGCTTCAATTTCATCTTCTTGATCAAAACAACCAATCAAAGACCTCATGCTTAGCATCTGACCCCTCGTCCAATAGCGGATGATAAGGGGGCCTGACCGTGCAGGTGGATATGGATCGGGTGAATGGGCCAGCAGCCCAAAAATTGAGCACAGTCTTCCGGCATTCTCAAGCATCACGATCGGTAACAGAGACGCCTGTGAACGCATTGGCATATAATTCTCCCTTCGATGTTGGTAAAAGCTCTCCATGCGGCTGTGATCGAGAAAACTCCCCAAGCGATGTGCTCCCGAATACTGAAGATGGCAAGGTCGTACCCACTGCCGTGTTTGAAGGGAGGTCTGTTGAGTCTAAAGCTGGAACTGCCGGGTATGTTGTGGAAGGAAGCCCCGAGATATATTTACCCGAATGGGTACTTTCAGTCCCCTGGTCTAGTGCCAACGTGGACGGCTCCTCTGTCATGTCCGTTCGATCGCCAGGGGTTTGGTCATTGTCCTTGTCGTCTGTGTGTTTTGTGAGAATGGTGGGAAATGAAAACTGGCTGATAAGTGTGTTGGTGTCTGCTGGCCCTGTCGATGGAAAGGACCCAGAGAGCGATTTTGTTGCCACATCGGTGGATCTGTCGATCGGTAGATCAAGTGCTATGGAGGAGGCCGTATTTTCCACCGTGAAGGGTCGTGCCGATGATTGTCTACTTGATGCCGTATAACCTGGTGTTTCCACCACCTTTTGGGTTTCCTTGCCCCCATTAATATTGATATAACTAGACGAGTGAGGGATGAGCTGCCTCTGGCACCTTCGGGACTGTCAGCAACTGGTCTATTCTGGCTTGTGAAGGTTACCACGCACCGTAACTTTGCCTGATGAGATGGACCTATCAGGTCTATTTCAGACAGAACTCCTGCCATCATAGTAGAGAGACGGTCGGTTTTACTTCCTAATGACACAGGTCTAGTACGATGGTGGGTCCTGCGAATTCAAGTAGTCAAACGATGAAAGAGACATCTGGTGCTGAAAGGTTCGATCTGGTCAGTCTCTCCAGTGACACACCCGCACCCAGCCTATCATTGCCCCAGTCGACTAGAAACGAGCTCGCCGATTGCCCGAGCTCTACAACCGATTGTTCCAACTCATCGTGGAAAGGCCCGACCATGGATAATACACAAACGTCCAGGGAGATCTCGAGGCAAGGTTCAGCGGCGATCCTGGGGAGTGTGTCTGGTGCCGGTCTGGTTTTCACCTTTATCTTGGTTTTCCATCGGTTTTTCTACCAGCCATTCAATAAGCCCCCAAAAAAGATGCTCCTCACCTCACCCGAACGAGAGTCAGGGTCTGCAGACGAACGATCCTACCCTCAGCTTTCCAGCGGAAAGGAAATTTCCCGATTCTCAGCTGACAGTTGAAAGGATATCCATGCTAAAAACAAGTACACTTAGCCAGTGAACGAAGCAAATAACTCCACCGTATATTCTCTTGTAAACAAGGCACATAGACGATGTCGGAATAGTTACTCCAAGTCTGCGCGGTAAAATAGTTACAGTACAGAACTCAGCGGGCTGCCAAAACAGCCGTTCGTTCATTAGTATTTGGAATACGGTACTTCTGCCCACTGGCAAAAAGATAGGTGGGGCAGGTACCATGTTCCACCGAGGTTCAGTACGAATTGGTGGCATGGTAGGTGGTTGAAGAAGGTAGGTGGGTAGGAAGACGCGATTTTAGATGTGGTGCGCAGCTCGGGCGGGTGCGCAGCTCGGTCGGGAACTACAACGTAATTCACGGCCGAGTCGTACACCCGGTCGAGCCGTACACCCCAAACACCAATGTAAATGCGATATTTTGGATTATGATATTTCAACCCACAAGGGTTTAGATAAGTTGATAAGACACTTTAGTATCAAATATATTACATTAAGCATATTTATGAGGCCAAAAACTATTTTGAAGTAATCTAATACAGGTATATAAACATGCATCACCTTTTCGGCGTGTATTGTTGGTAATGCATGTAAATATCTATGTGGTCAATTTATTGATAAATATATACTAATCTATACGTTCCTAGAAACTAACCTACCAAAAATCAAGTAATATTATGTTTTTGTTGTTGATATATAGCCACCTGAATCGCGTTTACTATGGTGGTTGGGTTGTACGGCTCGACCGGCTGTACGACTCGGCCGTGAATTACGTTAGTTTTCGTGCGTTACGATCCAGGCCTGTTAGCTACATGGTGCCACAGTCAGGGACAACGGTGAGAAAGGTATGAACGGCATCGCCAAGTTGCCTTTCTGCTTTAATTATCTAGAGTGCGGGGTATATTTGTCCCGCAGAATATATACTGTATGCACGAGCTTTAACCAGAGAGACGTATCAAGCGTTGGGGTAAATGATTTGGAGGAGTATATTTAATAGTACGCTGTTCATTCAATAACCGCGAACCTGGACCGCCTTTAGTGTTTAGCCCCTTAGCGTGCTATCACGCATCCAGCTTTCGACTTACCCGTAAACTGTTCTGCCATACCTCCCTAGCCCTTTAGCCAAGTGGCAAGGAACTCAACCGTTCACTTACCCATGCTTAATAGACTGACTGATCACCCGTTCAACTCAGGATAGGCGATTCATGACCGTAGTTTTGAGAACGGCCAGCGGTTCACCGTTCTTAATCCACTGAACCCACATTTTGGCTGTTGTTCCCTTTTACCACCCTTTCTTTTCATCACCCTCTGCTTTCACCACACTAAATCCCACCTATTTTGGAATAGGCTCTCCTGTGTCATGTCAATCATTTGGTTCTACAGAAGATGAAATTGCAATTTGGACGGTTTTCCGGGATTAGCGCCGCTTCATCTTGGGCAATTGCACGGTGAATTCATGCTATTGTGAAAGACAACTACTTCTCCGCGATTCTAAACTGCCGGCCCACTCGATCTGGCCAAACTCATCTTGACCGTTGAATCGTGCTATGTTCTGAACTCTGACCTGTAAACAAACACGATGTGATAATCTCATAGTAGTAAACAGTGTTTTCGTGGGAATCATATTTTCGCAATCTCAAATCTACTTTGTTGTATCCCGCTTAATAGTCCAGGTTAGCCTAGCTATTTCAACTAGTTACTTGATCTTACTCGGAGGCGGTGGAAAGACGTCTGTGCTATTATACTCTCCCCGAAAATCGTCGCACCTCGTGACGTATTGCGTAGCCACTTCTTATGTAGAACAGTATGATTACGGTCAGCTAGAAGCGAAAATACTACAGTATATCCTCGGAGGGTCAATTACGACTTTTCTACTTCACATGGGCGGGTATAGCCATGCAATTCGAGAGGAGTTAAAAGCGTTTTGGAGGCCGGCTAACAGGTTCCCAGGAGGACATCCTCATCTATCCAAGTCAATATATTTATTGCGAAGATATGTAGTTAGCTCTGCTACTATTCATTACACATACACACAATTCATTAACGCCCGGCGGCTAAGCCGAAAGGGCAACTATCGCTGATCTATCAATACAGGTCCTAATGTACAATTCATTACAGAGGGTTTCGAAAACAGTTCACCCCCCAGATACACACGCTTTCTTTCCCAGCGCCCCACTCATATTACACTAAGCTTACTTTGGCTAGATGAAGCCCCTTCGGTGAGGTAGCACGCCGTATCATTGGCTGCGGGAGAAGCTGAATCGCCGCGACCCGGACTAGAACGCCTTTGTGGGTCTCTGGGAGAGAAAGCGTGTGTGTCCGGGGGTAAACTGTTTTCGAAATCCTCTGTATTCACTCTTTCTTGAAGTATATAAATATCGAGCAACTGGTGTCCATTTTATACAACTTCGATATCCAAGCTTGAATTAAAATATTCAACGATATGTCCCCACGGCGCAGAAACACGAGGCGCTTCCCTACCGCCGCTCCCTCACCATCCGCTAGTCCAATCCTGCCCACCAATAAGCCTGGGCCGCAGCGTGGGGCGACAAGACCTCACCCGGCACAACTTGGTGCGCAGTCTGCCGACACAAGAGTGGAAAAAATATTGTCCCAAATACAATCCGAATACATGAAGCTCCTTGTTATGCATCACGAAACGTTGGATAGGCTACAGAGGGAGGAGTTTGAGAAGGCAGAGCTCGAGAGACAAATGGAATACCAAAGTGGTTGTCTTCAGGCAGCGGAGCAACGGGCTTGGCGTTTTGAAGAACGAGTTAGCAGATTGGAGGTTCAACTGGCATCTAGGGAGGCAGATCCAAGAGGGGAAGACTGAGAATCCGTCAACTCTGCTGTGGCTATGGTCGAGCTATGGTCTTTCATTTCCTGCAACTACGTCAAATCGACGACTCAAGTCGGTATCTGCGTTAAGAAAAGACTCGGCACATCAGCTCATGATGTTTGGCATCACAAGGGTCACAGTTGCGCACCACGAGACGAGTCACGACTAAGAGCGACATTTACTCAACGGCAGGGCTTGGCAAGATTTCGAGTTTGGTGTCATGATATAGTCAGAGTCGAAAACAGATTCCCTTCTGTGCACACGCGAATTGTTTCTTGGACCCGACTTTGAAGTGCCCTAATCTGTATTGCGCTTAGCGGTAGATCCCCCGGTTCTAAGAATAGAGTCCATGTTTTTACAGGACGAAGGTACCGCGTAAAATATTCTCTTGCGAGCTCGATGAGCCGACCTGTCGAGCGCGAATGGCGACGGTCTGTTATAAAAACGGCGATAAAGGTCTTCGATTGAAAGTATGCGTTTTGGGTATTTAGGAGAAGGTGTGGATTGGTAGGGATTAGAGGGTGGTTGCAGCAGAGGAGATCTAGGCCGTTGAAGAACCGAGGCATAGGTATAGTAGGCCGTTGGTTTTGTGTAGAGCTAGTGATAGATGTTGAGTGGAGAGGTTGAAGAGGTTCCGAGGGCTGAAGAGGTTGGTGAGGTTGATGAGGTTGAGAGACTTCAGGAGAGCAGGTCGATTGGGGTTTCTGCATGGCTGGTTCAAGGGTCATGCACGACTGTACGGCGGCTGAGTCGATGGTTATGATTGAGGCTTCCTCTGGCACGACGGACACTAATGCCGTTTCGGGGACCGGTGGTTGTTGTGGTGGAGATGCAGTGTTTGAGTCGATGGCAAAACTAGGCGTTTCAAAGACAGGCTTTACTGCAAGTAGTGGTACTGTACTGTACTGGAACGCATTCGAAAGGAATTCTTCTTGCTACAGCAACAGGTCTAAGTTGCTTAAGGCCCCTACACGTGGTGCTACAGTAACTCCCTTGCACTCCTATGTCAATAGACGACTAAAGCTTGATACCGCCAAAAACCTGATGCGGGACTAGGCCAAGCCAGAAGGTCTCACTCACCTTGAGTAGGGAGTTAAACCTGAAACCATATTGACCTAGTACATGGCGGACAAATTCGAGTCACAATGGTGACATGCATTATCATTTTAATATCCGACTATATCCTCTTGATCGTGATATAGTATTAGCGTGTTGGGAGATGCCTTTAGAGCGGCCTTAGCTTTTTGTTCGGGCAGTATGATCGCCGAACGAGATTACAGCTCATTCCAAACTTATGCAAAGAGATAAATACAGCGTTCTATGCCAATCAAATCACAGTAAATAAAATATCTAGACTAAAGGAATAATTTCGTTGCAAGTCGCTTCTTAGTGTCGTTTCACCTAAAGGCCGGTGTCACAAACAAACCGCCGGGCGGCACCTACTTTCATAGG